GGGGGGTGTGGGGTTTTGGGGGTCTGGGGGCTTTGGGGGGTGGGAGATGCGGACCCGCACCCGGCGCATCCCCGGGGAGGAAGGGGCGGCCCCGAGCAGGTGCCGCGGGCCCGGAGCCCCCCGCCCCACACAGGCCGGGACCCCCCCCGGGGCCGGTGCTGCGCCCCCCGGGGCAGGGGGCGAGCGGGGACCCCCGGGCGGGGACCCCCGGCCCGGCCCCTGACCCCACCTTCACCTCCGAGGGGCGGGGGGCGCAGCCCCGGCCCCGCGCGGCTCGGGGGTCCCGGTGCGGGACCGGGGGAGTCCCGGGGGGCGGGTCGGGGGTTCCTGTGTGGGGCTTGGTGGTCCCAGTGCGGGGCCGGGGGGTCCCTCGATGCCTCTCGGCTGCCCCGAATCGCGGCTCGGGGGTCCCGGTGCGGGGCCGGGGGTCCCTCCGTGACTCTCGGGGGTCCCGGTGCGGGGCCGGGGGTCTCTCCGTGACTCTCGGGGGTCTCGGTGCGGGGCCGGGGGGGTCCCGGTTTGGGGCCGGGGGGTCTCTCCGTGACTCTCGGGGGTCCCGGTGCGGGGCCGGGGGTCCCGGTTTGGGGCCGGGGGTCTCTCCGTGACTCTCGGGGGTCCCGGTGCGGGGCTGAGGGTCCCGGTTTGGGGCCGGGGGTCTCTCCGTGACTCTCGGGGGTCCCGGTTTGGGGCCGGGGGTCTCCGTGACTCTCGGGGGTCCCGGTTTGGGGCCGGGGGGTCCCAGCGAGGCTCCCGAGGCCAAGGCTGACCCCTCCCTCGTCTCCGTCCCCCCGCAGCGGACCCGGCGGTGCAGATCGAGGGCAACCCGCACTGCTGCTTCTTCAACTTCAGCCCCAAGATCATGTTCACCAAGGTGGTGAAGGCGCAGCTCTGGGTGTACCTGCGGCCGGTGCAGCACACCTCCACCGTGTACCTGCAGATCCTGCGCCTCAAGCCCGTCACGGACGAGGGCAGCCGCCACATCCGCATCCGCTCGCTCAAAATCGAGCTCAACTCCCGAGCCGGCCACTGGCAGAGCATCGACTTCAAGCACGTCCTGCAGAACTGGTTCAAGCAGCCCCACAACAATTGGGGCATCGAGATCAACGCCTTCGACCCCAACGGCAACGACCTGGCCGTCACCTCG